TGGGGGGAGGGAGCCTCGAGAGGTCACCGTCCTGCGTGGGGGGCTGGCGTTTGGAGGCGGACGGTTTGTGCGTGGATTTGGGCTGGGAGGGGGTACCGTGACGGGGCGTGTGCGTGGCGTGGACACGACCCCTCTCGCTTCCTTGGTCCTGCTTGAGGTTAGGCCTCCCAGCTGGCAGCCCGCTCTTTAGGCTGAAGAGCGTGCAAGGTCTCGATAGGGTTTTTTTTTTGCTGATTGCCTACCTCACTGATGGTGGAATTCTTTGCAGTGCCACAAAAATGCGCCATTGTATAGTTTTATGCTGATGATGTTTAATTTAGAGGGTGGTTTTTTTAACGAAACTTGAAAAAAAAAAAATCTAGTTCGTCCTCAGTTCTGGCTTTTGATGTGTTCTCTGGTTCTTGTTTGCAGAGTACCGTCCATGATTTGACAGTCCACCGTGCAACCCCTGAGGACATAGTAAGTGTAATATCAGTCACTGCTCCTTCTCTGTAGCAAGGAGATGTAGCTGGCTATCAGTGTATACCACAGTTATGGGAATGTTTTCTGCCAATGTTCAATCTCTCTTTCTAAGCTTCTGAAAATACCGTCTCTTTAAGTGTTAGTTTTTTGTGTATGATATCCTGCATTCCCAGCTCTGGCAATTGGTGTTTTTCAGTTTTCTGTTTCCATTAGGAAGCAGTAGCTATAGTTTCATTAGTATTATTTCAATAAAGTGTATACCATCATAAAAGCATAAAAACATAAATACATAAAAACTCAGTGGAGTGGTTGAAGTTAAGTCTTTGCTGGAAGGACTGAAAGACATGCTTTTATTTTAGGAATCTCTCTAATTCTGAGGATCCTGAATTTTCATTTAAACAATTTAACATCATTTCTTTATACTGAATGGTGTGTTTGTTACTAAATGGGTGAATTTCATTTCATTTTCCTTGGTAGCACTGATTACCAGGATGGAATAGGCAGTATGAGCTACTGTTGCTTATGAATTTTGACACGTTAGTTGGGACAGATGGGCACAATAGCAGAGAGACTTGATTCTATAAATGGTTGGCTTGATAGCTTCCAGACACTTTAGCAAGCACCTCACATGTTTAATTTTTTTAACTTGTGTTTAAACAGAATATATATATATATCATTGTTAGAAGAAGAGAAAGAATATCTCTGGTGACTGACGGTGTTAGATCAGGAAAATGCGTTATGTCTTTTTATGCGTATTATAGGTGGTAGCGTTTGGGTTTTTTACTCCCTTTACAGCTGAGAAAACTCTTACTGAGTTGGTGGTGTAGGGCAGATGGAAACTGAGACTTTCCCCAGTCATCTTTGGAACTGCTTTAAATTTGGCTGGTCTTGATGGCATTTTACACTTCTGGATGTTTGTCAGGCTATTGTCAGTACTACCATGAAGTTAACATAAATAGTATTCAGCGCATGAATGATAAAATCAAGAAGAGCTTGTTAGCATTGCCCTGCAAATTTTGCTTTAGACTGTCCCTTGATTGTGAAATGGTTTCTTTCATGTTTACGTAGCTGCGTCGCCATGAAATATACAAATCAAAAAACAAAGCACTGGCACATCTGGAACTGCAAGAGAAAGCACTGAAAAGAAAATGGAAGCAGCAAAAACAACTGGCTGCTGATTCCTTGGAGAAAAGGAAATTGTCTCTGATGCGTGAGGTGAGAGCTAAATCTGCGCTTTCAGCCTGCTGCAGATCATCTGCAGCAGTAGTAGAAAACTGCTCTTGCGCATAGGTCAACATTTGCTCCTCTTCTTGGGTAATTTGACTTTGTATATGCATACACTCTCCCTCCTCTATGCGCTGCATTCATGGAATGATTGGAACAGGCTGTCTAACATATTATCTGATCTATACAGTTGCTCGTTTGATCCTTGTTGCCTGGCTATGCCCTCTGTAATTCTGCAGGCCTCTTTGCGTCTGAGCAGGAAATGTTTGCGGAGTTACTGTGTGTTGTGAAAAGGATGTGCGTTCTTTGTGTTCTTGTTGCTATCTTGCCACCTTCTCCTCCTGTCTAGAAATTTTCTTTGATGGAAATGTGAATGTTTCTCTTTCTGTGAGGGACATCCTTATCTGCCATTGCTTATTTAAGCAGAGAAAACACAGAGTTCTAGGTGCAGAAGAGGTGAGGCAAGAAGTTGGTAAGGAAGAATTTGCCTGGAAGGAAAACTGACAACAAAGGTTGAGGAGCTATGGCTGCTAGCAGACAAGGTTGTCATCTGGGAATTGAAATGCTTGTTCTCTGGGAATTCTGAAGCACTCTGACTGAAAATATTAATATTGTTAAATTTGCTTTTGAATTTTGAACTGTAGCAGCAAACCTAAGCTTGGCTAATAAAGACAGTAGCTTTTACTGTCTGGAAAGGGATTTCAGTGATAGACATTATCCTTTTGTTTCACATGGCAGGTGACTCTTTGCTATATGTTATGAAAACTAATCCCAAAATATACTCATTAGCTTTCAGACTTCATTGGTACTTGGGCAAAGTGGGAATTGTTCTTGTTGGTGAAGAATGGTGATGAACAATGTTCACCTAGCAGTTAATATAAACATGATTTAGTCATCCTGTAAATGTGCAGTGGGTTAATCACCACAGACCTCTTCTCTCTTCCATCTTTTGTAAATTTTTCTAAGTCTGTGAAATCTGAGAACATTCAAGCATAGACAGAAACAAATGAAAGCACATAGAATTAAAGGTCATCTTCTAGTTTCCAATTTGATACCTGCTTCTCTGCAATCACAGTAGAATTTTTGTTAAGGATATTGTGCTTATCAAACCTCAAACTTTAATTTTGACCTTTGTTATTTTCACGCTTTTCTGCTAAGTGCATTTTAGTGACTTATTTAAAAAGCTGTGGGCTTTTATACAAATTTCCCTAATGTAATAGCAGGCTAGTTTCAATAAGACTTCTGTCCAGAAGTAGATTATGTATCACAGAAGTAGATTAGACCACCTGCTCTAAGATTTGGCTGGACTATCTATTACGTGACTTCGTTATTTCGCAGATGTGAAACTCATGGCTACGAAATAGTCTTCCGTATTTGTTGCTGTTTCTAATGACAATGCACACATTTCAAATTCCTCCTGAGTGGCTTTCCCCTTCATATGTAAGAGAGAACTTTATTCAGCATACCCTGTGTCTACTTCTGAATTAGAGAAAAGATGCTTCCAGACAGGAAGACAAAAGGAGTTGATGAAACCCATCTGGCTGTTGCTGTTTGAAACACTGGCATCTTCTTGTGTGTAGAGCAAAAAAAGTAGGTGGAGGAGAGCCACCATTTTTGCCTACCCCTAGCTTAAATCTTGTTAATGGCTGGGTCCTGTTCAGAGTAACTGGGGAGACTCTTCATTCTGTGTCTCCCAGTAGAGTACAACCACTGTGGATTGTCTCCTTGTCTCTGTTATGTTGGTGATCTTTTTTCCTCGCTTCCTGCTGTGAGTGTAGCTTCCTAAGCCCCTTGAATCTTACTCAACTGCAAAAGAACCGGACACAAAAATTAGGAAAATGCTGCTACTAGTGTGTTTTTTCTTGGTGAGGAAGAGAGTAAAAGTTATAAAATGGATGAGTGAAGTTTTAATCTTTTGGGGATTTGGCTGACTAAAAATCTGAATGAAAAAAATAATACAAGTTCATCTCTGTACCGTGGATTGTGAATGTGTAGGTGCTACACTGGTCCTATAACAACTTATTTTTAAAATAATGTTAGTGTATTGCACTGAAATGTAGGTGGTGAGTGCGTTATCATAGTGGGAAGGTTTCAGGATTAGTCCTGTTTAATTATCTTTAACAACAATCCGAAACAGGAGGGAAGATTAAAGTTAATGAAATTCATAGGTGATACTACTGGGACAAGGTACAGCACTCAGTGAATTTGTCAAGGGCATGTAAATGGGCCTGGAGGGGTTAGAAGCTGATATCCCCTTGTTTTCTGCTGATAACAAGCAAATGTGAGCTAATCTACCTTGGGACCAATGCTCTGAAAATGTTCATAACAT